TTAAGTTACCGATGTGTTTTATGTAGTAGCTATCGCTCCTTGCAACAACTAATCATCTATAGAAGTTTGGCTGAGTACGCTGGATTTGACCTGGGATTTTGATCCAGGGACTATGCGCGCGGTAGCGGCCCCTCTTGTCACCACACCATCACCGCTCGAATGAGTATTTTTGAAATGTAAATTGGCAACTTAATTAACAATTACGAATACACAATTTCCATATCTCATTCGTGGAACAAAGCCAATGTCCGGTAGCGACCACACTTGGGTAGAATTGCAAGCCGCACTCTGTAGAAGCGCTGCGGGTCTGACCGGGTGCTTCTGCTCTACGAGTTTTCGTCGCTCTTCTACTGCTTCAAATCTGCGTCAGGATAGGAGTCTTTTCATTCTTTTCCGCACCTTTGGAACTGTCAGAATTTTGGAAGTTGGAGATCTTCAACACTATCGAGGACCCCGCGTAGACCTCTGACCAATTCCGAAGATATCAACCCTATCTTTCAGCAGGTCCATTTTTAGACGTTCGTTGGCGTATGCTGCACCAGATACGGATGAAGGGAGAACCCAAATCATTGGCACAATCATCAAGTGTGTGTAAGCCTCGAAAACTACCTTTTTGGGAGGTGCATACGCTGTTTGTGTGGTACAAAATGACCTATTAATTTGTTCAGAGACACTCGCTTTGAGTTGTAACGATTTGTTATCGAAGCGAAATTATAGCATTTCTATATGTGCACAATTCCGCCATCAAGCGGGCACTCCAGTCTGAATAAGTCCCAAAACTGTGGTAGTGCCTTTGACTACGGAAGTGGTACACATGTGTACCACCAGTAGTCAAAGGGTTAAAGGCACAACTCAGGCAGAAGTCGTGTGAACGATTCCCTTTGGTCTGTACGATAGAGCCCAGAGGTAAAATCACAGATGTGGCACTCCCGTGCATAGAAATCACTCGACAAGAGCGCTTGGGCCTTGCAAAGTTAGCTGCAGCAGCTGCAATGTTCCCGTCCACAGCAGGTTGTCTGGCGCCCTCTCATCTGTTGCGCTCTCTCGCCTCATACTCTCCTCTCCGCGCTTAGTCTCTCATTGCCTTAGCACAGCCGATTACGAAGGTGAGTGAGCCCTTAACCTAAGCGTTTTCGACGGATTTTTCCCCATTTTCTTTACTATCGGACCATTTTATAACAACTAACGTCGCACTCTTGTGCAGAGAACACACAGTTTGTACCCTGGGGCATCCCCTTAACACGCAGACGATAGCGTGACGCGGTAACGCGTCCCACCCAAAGTCATCACTTTAGCGTTTCCTCCCAAGTCCTTTGTACTCATTCTGTAGACCATACATTATATATTATATATTTATTGCATGAGAATATTCATGTGAATACTTCAAACGAGTAGTAACCTAGCATTTACAGAACACTTAGTAGAACATTGACATAACCGGTCGATGAAATGGTTAGATATGTTTTAGTTTAGCAAGGATTTTCTGAACTTCTCAGATATCTTCAATATTGATTTTTGTCCTTGAAGAAGCAAGCGAGTATAGTAGAACGAAAGTGTTAGGTCGAAAGTTCTTGCGCTTTTTGGTGTTTCGTTTTTGAACGCTTTATTTTGTTACGAGTTCAAGCAAGCTGCCACCGTGCTGTATGTGGTTTTGAAGAGCTTTTCTTGTTCTATCTAACAGCTAGGCTAGCTATGTTCCTTATTATTTAGTTGTCATTTTTTGAAGCCTTGAATACGGCATACTCCAAGAGCAAATTTGCATGATTTCCTTTTTCTAGCTCAAAGCAGGCCAGTATGGAGAGGAAGCAGGTCAAGATATTATAGACGCACTTGGCTGAGATTCGCAATAAATATGGTCTGAAGCAATTGTTCAAAAAGCTTTTGTAAGAATAGCGAGAGCCCCAAAGATGTGAGGGTGGTGGTCGGAGATTGGACAACGCCAACGATTAGCCGAACGTTCTAGTTGAAGCACGTTTAATGAGAGGATAACTCGTAAAATGCATTGTATTTTCTTGTACGGGAAGAGCTGGAAAGTCCCAAAAATTCAAATAGGGCGTGCCGCGACAGCTCACCATTTTGAAGGGTCGTTCGCCGCGTTCTAGCTTGTTTCATGCCATGAAAACGACCTGACTTTTTGATCATTTGCGACGCACGACAAAGAACGGATTCTTTGCTACAGAATACGAACCTTTGGTGAAGTGATCGACCGCGATCAGGCTCTACAAACTTTGCAAAAGTGAAACTTCACTGAAGGAAGGTTGAGGTGACTTTCATAAGGTCAGCGGCTGGTCTAGCTTTTCGTAACCAGGTGGATCTGTTAATGTGGAAAAAGTACTCCTGATAATGTGTCAAACTACTCCTAGAACTCTGGCACATATGCTCGAAATTCCTCATTATAAAGGAACCGGCTCGTCCCTGACAGGTAGCTCGGACGCACATTCCACAACCAACCCTGCAGAAGTTGGACAAGATTGGCTACGAATTAGTCCTGCGAACATCCTACTCGGTAGACCTTTTGCCTATAATTTGTCACTTTCTCGACTACCTGGATAGCTTCTCCAAAGAGTTATGCTTCAAAAACCAACATGATGCGGAAACGACCTCCGCCGGGTTCATCGTCTCTAGAGCTCCAGTATTCTGCACTACCGGGCTGATTCAACGCAGCTATTATTGGCAGAGGTTTGTGGATTCTAACAGTCTTTACTCCAATCAAAAAGGTTTCGAATGAGCCGAGATACAGGCATTTGAAAATCAAGGTCGAAAAGCGCAAGAACTTTCTTCACGACCTAATATAAAAACAATTGTTTACAAGATCAAAAAATAGTGCTGGATGACAGGATTTTTGTTTCTTATTGAAACACCCAATACAAAGGAATTTTCCACATCTACTGCAAGGCATGTTAACTCCTTTTGTTTTTTTTTTGCGACAGCGGCAGGCCCGTGTTCTTCCGAGTGTTGCGTAACACATAGAACACCTTCTTCTGTTAACACCTGCAGCTGCACCTTTAATTAAATTCCTCCAGTTCATGCCGCGTTCAGTTGGATATACGAAATGTTGTCACGCTCAACGTTTCAGCAATGGTTTGACCACCTCTAATTTGAATGATTCAGCTGGATGTTCTTGATCAAATCTTTACATAACTTCGTACTTTGTATTCTTATGTACTTTGTATTCGCCCTCCCAGCTCCCATTATACCCTGGTTTCATTGCATTCGGAGTTGAGTTCCGAAAAACGCTTCGTAGGACAGCGAAACGCGGTTGCGCGCCAAGCGATCGCGGCCGTCAAACAGCTCATGTCCCACGAGATGAAAAAAGCCAAAACATGTGTGGTCATCAACTTGTTAAATGACGCACCTTGACGCAACGGTAGAGTGGCCCCTCTAAAATCACACTGTACTAGTTTATCAGTATTATGAACTGAGCTTCCAGCGTGAAATTAGTCGTTCTTCGCAGCGCGGCTAGCTGGTTAGCGCTGCTGGGTTCCTACCGGGATATTCACGCATTTGGATCACGCTCGAAAGGACAACTATTTGAACAAATTATACAGTGACCAACAGGAGCAAGCTGATGGCCCAACGTGAGGTTTCCCTTCCTACACGCTTATGTTACCAAATCCTAGAGTGGGAGGACTTCTTCAGTTTATATTCGTTGGAGCTTCAAGCGAAGCTCTCACCACTACTTTTCTCTTTATCCAATGGTTGGACAAACCCACCAATCATCGCAACTGGTTGCTAAAGAGTTCTAAATAAGAATTTTTAAGATTCATTCAGTACACAAACGTACATACAATAATATATTGCATTGACTGTTTCATAATAATGCTCTATTCACTGCTAACACACTAAAACTAAGTAATATTATGATGTTTAGGTAACAAGTAATAATCGCTGACAAAAAGAGAATAGAAATGTATATCACAGCGGTATTCAACTTGAAAGACACATATTGAGTGAAATGAAGGCGTCGAAAGGCATGTGGGATGATAACCATATAAGCGAATGGGCTAATACTGAGAAGAATAGAGGAATTCGAAAAGACACGAGATCATTGAAGCGACCGCAAATCGATGAGAACGATGACCAATTTAATATCGTCTAGTTAAAAGTAAATAGTGTAGTAAAACCGAGACTCTTTATTTGGAAGTCAGTACTTAAAGTTTTTCCAGCAGTAGAAGTGAGGCGCTCATCCAGTAAGGGGGGGCATCAAGTGGCTGCCCTCACCCCCCACCCCCTAGACTGCCTACACTCCCCCTGGCGCACAGGTTTCTCGAAGTACGGGACCCCGTGAGCCAGGGGGAGTGAAGCCAGTTCAGGGGGTGGGGGTGAGGGCAGCCTACTTGACGTTGCATCACAATGCCCCCCCCCCTTACCGGATGAGCGCCGATGTGACTGAAGAGAACATTTGCCTTTTCGATGAGAACATACATAACGTACATAGAAG